GACACGTGGTCGCAGGGCCTCGCCACCCCGGGGACCGCTTCTCCGGGCGCGGAGTCCCCTCTCGCGGTCACGCCGGCCCCGCCTCCTGCGGCCGCGTCGGCTTCTGTGGTTCTCAGTACGTACTTGTGCCGTGTGCGCGGAGCGGGTGACACCGATGGGCGAAGCTTGCGGGAGCTGCTAGCGCTCTGATAGCCCGGGAGGAGCTGTGCGGAGGGGGTGGCCGAAGAGTTCGGTTGAAGACTCTGACTTAGTGATCTAAATAAAAAGCCTAGCTCCCCTAAGGAGTTGGGCGGGGTGGCGCGTGCCTGTAATTCCAGCGCTGTGAAGGCTGAGGCAGGACGATCACCGCTAGTTCGAGGCCAGCCTGTTGTACAGTGAGGCCTTGTCTCAAGCGACCCCGTCCCCCCAAAAAAGGAAGAGGCCTGGCTTGGGAGCCGGTGTGCGCACAGGAGGTAGCTGGGAGGGTTACCGGAGCGGCGGGTGGTGCGCTTGCGGACCCTAAGTGACGGTGAAAGTGAGGCGGGAGAGGCGCTCGGGAATGCCTGGCGAAGACAAAGAATGTGTTGGCTTGCTTTATTCGGGCCTAAAACGGTGCAGAATTCGGTTGGCTCTTGAGATTTTTTTTAAGTTTTTGTTTAAATGAGCTGCTGTCCCTTCCAGCATACCAGCTGTGCTAATTGCCTTAGAGACCAGAGCGTGTGCTTAAGTGAAAATTTCCGAAAGTTGTTCAAGTAAAGCTTTAAAAAGATCCAGAGAAGCAAAATACTAAGTAGTGGCGTTTTTGGAAGACAGAAAGCCTTCCACGTTCAAGCTGCCTTTTGATTCAGGGATGTTTCGCAGGACGCGGAGTCTGTTATCGCCCAAGGCGTTTTTATGAGGCGGCCGGGAGCAGCTTGCCCTCGGGTGGTTTGGGCATCCGGAGGTCCGTGCTGCCTGAGGCTTAGGCGAGCGCCGCGGCTCGGGTTTGGGTTTGTTGCTGGCGACCCCGGGCCGCCGGAGTGTCCTCCGCTGCAGCGCGGTGGCATCTGCCGTGGCTGCAGCGCCGAAGTGGGGCACAGTGGAAAAGAGCGCCGCCGGCCGAAATTGGGACAGGTTAAGTCAGTAATGTGAAGATAACGCATCCGCCGGTGTCACATTTAGTGAAGGCCGAGGGCGGGCTTTTATTACTGCCATGGTGTTCGCGCTCGTTTTCCTTAGTGAGTTGAAGACTCGCATATGGCAAATGGGATCATTCACAGCTGAGCAGCCAGTCGGGGCGGGGGGGTTGGGGGGGTGGGGGAAAGGTGGAAGTCCCGGAACTGCTAATTTGGTAGGAAATTCTGATTCGAGAGTACCGATTTGTGATAGGTAACTGCAGCAAAGGTCAGAGAATTAGCTCTGGAAGTTCTTCGCAACTCGGAGCGCTGGGTAAACTGAACGGTCTAGGTATTTCCACCGTGCTGCTTAAGCAGGAAGAGTCCTTCAGAATTCCTCTGAGGTAGGGAGCGTTCCTGCGTCTTACTGCTGTCTAGCTGTTGCTGTAATGCTGTTCAGGATTCTGAAGAGCGGAGACAGCTCTGAAGTAAAGCTGGCCAAACTGTGTTCCCTGGGAGGCTTAGGCAGGAGGACTGTAAGTTCAAGTCTCACCCAGGGAACTTGGCAAGACCCTGTCTCTGGATAGAGCTCCAGGTGAAAGTCCTGGCTCAGTCCGAAGTATCAGAAAACAAAACAAAAAAAACCCACTTGTCCCGGCAGTGAGCTAAGTGCAGGCAAACTTGTGAAGGCTGCAGTCTGTATTTGGGGTATGTGTGTTTGAGCTGCTTGTTTTGTGAAGGCTGCAGTCTGTATTTGGGGTATGCATGTTTGAACTGCTTGTTTTGAAATGCGCTGTATCCCATGGGGAATTGGGACCCCAGGCCATCAGCCATCAGCTCTGACCTGTCTGGGTTTCCCACTTCCTGCCTGTGGGGGCCTTGTGCAGAAGGCAGACTCTGGGTTCTCTTCTCAGAACGTTTCCAGTGCTGCTCTGAGGACTTGGGGCTTGGAGTTCCTGGACCATCAGCCTTGTGAGCAACCAGAAGGGTCCCTGGAATTCCATTGCCTAGTTTCCCACGTAAGTACAGAGCCCTGTGACAGCATGAGGCTGAGGGCCCCACTGCTAAGTTAAGGCCTCCAGAGTGAGTTTTCCCCTGCCTTCCCAGGTGTGGAGAAACCATGACCGGCGCCCGCAGTGAGGAGTTTGACTGCTGCTTCCTGGATGAAGGCTTCACAGCCAAGGACATCCTGGACCAGAAGATCAACGAGGTCATGTCCTCTGTAAGTGAGGCCCGCGGCACTGGGTTTGGGGCCTGGGCTTTCCAAGGTGGTGGTCATTGGTGATGGTAACAGTGGCAGGGTACGGGAGGGAGGTGCATGTTGCAGAGCTGCCTGTGGTTACCTGGACCCCTCTCTTTTCAGGATGACAAGGATGCCTTCTATGTCGCAGACCTTGGGGATGTTCTCAAGAAGCATCTGCGCTGGCGGAAAGCTCTCCCTCGAGTCACCCCCTTCTATGCAGTCAAGTGCAATGACAGCAGAGCTATTGTGAAGACCCTCGCCGCCATCGGGACAGGATTTGACTGCGCGAGCAAGGTGCAGAGGCTGGCGGACTCTGAGGGTGACAGCCAGTCGTGCCTGCCGTGGGCAGGAGCTCTGTCTGGGCCAGCAGATGCTAAGGAAAGGCAGGTGCAGGCGGCTCCCATGTGCTGCTCGCCACACACAGACAGTGTGACCCCTCTCTCTCTGTCTCCTCAGACGGAGATCCAGCTGGTGCAGAGTCTCGGGGTACCCCCGGAAAGGATCATCTACGCCAACCCCTGCAAGCAGGTGTCACAGATCAAGTATGCCGCCAGCAGTGGGGTCCAGATGATGACCTTCGACAGCGAAGTCGAGCTGCTGAAAGTGGCCCGAGCACATCCGAAGGCCAAGTAAGTCACTGTCCTCCATCTGAGGGAGCAGGCAGTGTAGGTTCTCAGACCAGGTGGAATTGCAGTTCCTGGAAAGTGAAGTGAGCCCCTTGGAGAGTTAATAGCACAGTTTACAGAGCTCAGAGGCATGGCCAGCCCTTAGCATGGGGCTTTCTCTTTGACCGAGATTCTGAGTGGTTTTCTGGCCCGAGGTGCAGGACACGCTCTTCTCTCACAGGTTAGTCTTACGGATCGCTACTGACGACTCCAAAGCTGTCTGTCGCCTTAGTGTGAAATTCGGTGCCACGCTGAAAACCAGCAGACTCCTTTTGGAACGGGCAAAAGAGCTACATATCGATGTCATTGGTGTCAGGTGAGGTCTTGGTGTGCCCATGGGCAACTAACACACCAGGTGGTGCCAGCTGGGTGAGCATGAGAAGGTAAAAGACTGCCCCCCTTTTCTCTGCAGCTTCCACGTGGGGAGTGGCTGCACTGACCCCGAGACCTTTGTGCAGGCTGTGGCGGACGCACGCTGTGTCTTTGACATGGGGGTGAGTGTGGCCCGGGTTGCACGGGCGGGCGGGCTGATGGTGCTGATGGGAGTGTGCACCTTTGCTGTGAGGGTTACAGTCTGTCAGGCTGCTGCAAGTTCGGTTACTGTTAACCTGACCCCTGCTCTTGGCTTTAGGCTGAGGTCGGCTTCCACATGTATCTGCTTGATATTGGAGGGGGCTTTCCTGGATCCGAGGATGCAAAGCTCAAGTTTGAAGAGGTAATTTGTAATAAAACTCAGAGATACAGTAGCTGTTAGTATATTCCTTTTTTTTTTTTTTTTTTTTTTTTTTTTTTAATACAGGGCAGTGCAGTTCAGGCTGGCCTTATACTCACTGTAGCCCATGCTGGCCTCAAACTAGTGATCCTCCTGTTTCAGCCTCCCCAGTGCTGGAATTACAGGCATGCACCACCAGCAGCATGTTCTCTTTTTAAAGTTTATTTTAACATAATACTAGTAGAGGGCTGGGGATATAGCTCAGGGGCATAAGCACCTGCCTGGCAAGTGCAAGGTTCTGAGTTAAATTCCCAGTACCAAAAAAAAAAAAAAAAAAAAATCAAAGGGACAATAGTAAATAATAAGCACTTCTGTGAAAACATAAGACAAAATTTTGTAACAATAGTTGGAATAACAGATCATGACCTTAAGAGAATGGCCTACATGTTAAAGAGTCCTAATCCCAGATAGAAAAGAAGAAACAAAAGGACATAACTTTTTTTCAGTGAAGAAAAGAAACCAGTAGTGTTAGTGAAACAAATTAGCATTTGCTTTATTAAAATGTCTTCAAAACAACAGAGCGGATACTCTGGGGAGTGAACTTCCCCTGCTTCATGTTTGTCTTGTGCTTTGCTCTTCTGGAAGAGTCTACGCTCTGTTTCAGCAGGGAGCAAAGGGGCTGACCACCTCCCCAGCCCCAGTATTCTGTGACACCGAGCAACCCCTGTGCTGTGGAAATGAGCACTCACTGTTGTTTGTTCTGCCCTGAAACCTTTGCCTTACTCACAAGTCTGGCATTCAATTCCCAACTAAGAATTGCTGCTGTGGGTTACTCTGTGTGCTTTGTTAGACTTGGTAGTTCTGCTGTAGGCAGTAGTCGTTGTATGGTGCATGGGTTAATGGTTATGGTGGCACACACCTGTCATCTCAGCACTCAGGCTGAGGCAGGAGGATCACCCTGAGCTTGAGGCCAGCCTGGGCTACATAGTGAGTTCAGGACCAGGCTGGACTACATAGGGCAACTCTTGTCTCAAAAAAACCCACTTCGAAATCAATAAATAGGTGCACATTCTCATTTGTTAAGTGGAGCACGCAGAGAGAAGAAGGATTTTTGTCTCGTTGGCATGTTTTTAATCAAATTTCTGCATCTTGGGTACTTGATGAAATAAATCATAATTTATGACACCTTAAAAGGGCAACACAGGTGGCAGCAGAGACAGAAGCAAGGACAGGTCAGGGGAAGAGTGAGATTTTCTACCTCTGTCCCTTGGGTGGCGGCTGTCCCGTGCCTTCATTCACCCTGTGCTGTCCCTCGAGAGGCCCTGGAATCCTGCCCTCCGTGTGAGTCCCCTCGGTGAGTGGCCGCTCTGCTCCCCACAGATCACCAGTGTGATCAACCCTGCACTGGACAAATGCTTCCCGGTGGACTCAGGTGTGCGGATCATAGCTGAGCCTGGCAGGTACTACGTGGCGTCGGCGTTCACCCTTGCGGTGAACATCATAGCCAAGAAGCTGGTGCTGAAGGAGCAGGCTGGCTCGGACGGTGAGTAGGCGTGGGCCTCAGCTCCCAGGGCCAGAGTGGACCCCGGATCAGAGGGCTGAGCAGGCTCTGTCTTCCAGATGAGGAGGAGGCGAGCGAGCCGACCTTCATGTACTACGTGAATGATGGTGTGTACGGCTCGTTCAACTGCATCCTGTATGACCACGCACACGTGAGGCCGCTGCTGCAGAAGGTGAGTTGTGCCGTGGGGATGGGGAGTGGGGCACAGGGTTCCTGGGGGCAGCACCAATAGCCGTGCTGCTCCTTGGCTTGCAGAGACCCAAGCCCGACGAGAAGCACTACTCATCCAGCATCTGGGGCCCCACGTGCGACGGCCTGGACCGCATTGTGGAGCGCTGCGACCTGCCCGAGCTGCATGTGGGTGACTGGATGCTTTTCGAGAACATGGGCGCCTACACCGTTGCTGCGGCCTCCACCTTCAACGGCTTCCAGAGGCCAACCATCTACTATGTGATGTCGCGACCGACGTGGTGAGCAAGGTTTTGGGAAGGAGGAGGCACTGGGCATGCACAGGTGCCTGGGATTCCAGCATCCTGAGAGGCTGAGGCAGAAGGGTCATAGGTTCAGCTTGGGCAACTTAGCAAGACCCTGTTTGAATGTAAAAAAAAATCTGAAAGGCTGGGGCATAGTTCACTGGTAGAAATTTGCCTGGCATGTTCAAGGTCCTGGGCTTGGTACCACCCTAAGAAAGGTTGCAGCCAGCTGGGTTTTGCTTGCTCCTTCTCAGACTCAGAAAATTCATTCCACCTTGAGTGACACAGATGGGTGTGTGTGTGTGTGTAGTCGGGGGTCCCTCCCACAGCTCTGCTCTCTGGTGTCTCCTCACGCAGTGCTCACACCTGGTTACTGGGAAGGTTCTGGGGTGGCACAGGCTCCCGAAGTGACTCACACGCTTCCTGTGGCGTCACGCCCCACTTCAGCCAGTGCTGAACCCCCTGCTCTGTCCCCTAGGCAGCTTGTGCAGCGTGTCCGGAGCCACAGCTTCCCACCCGGGGTGGAGGAGCAGGATGTCGGGCCCCTGCCTGTGCCCTGTGCCCGGGAGAGCGAGATGAAGGGGCACACAGCGGCGCGTGCCTCCACCAGCATCAATGTGTAGCCGCCTGGAGCCACGAGCATGGAGCTCAGCTCCATCCGCTTCGTCACTGCTAGTTCTGGGCGACTTCACAAGAGTGGGGCCGGCACAGCGTAGCCACATGGAGACTAGGAGACAGTCACACTTATCTGTGTTCCTATGGAAACTATTTGGATATTTGTTTTATATGGATTTTTATTCACTTTCACACGCTACGAAAGAGGGCCCGCAACTGCCAAGCAAGCATTTGTAGCTTGTGCTACGGTAGTGTGGGCTGAAAGCTTAGTGTCGTGACCTGTTTTAAAAATAAAGCCATCTTGAAAGAATTCTAGAGTTTGGGAGATGCTTGCTGTCTGCACTGCAGGTGGCTCACCGAGCCCTGTGGCATCTGCTGGGGCCTCAGACCAGGCCTAGCATGGGGGCTGAGGAGTCGACCAAGTTGGGGTGCAGCTGCATTGCGCTCCAAGTGTGTAGTCACCAGAGCTGGCACCTGCCCTGAGGGAATCACATGGGCGTCCTCTGCAGTGGTGGGGACAGCATGGTGCGTGGCAGTCTCAACTACAATAAATGGTGTCAGCGGAGACCTTGTTGAAGATCTGCATCTTCCTGTTTGGATGTTCTCTGCTGATCGCTGCGGCAGAAGCCAAGCCAAAGCAAAAACCCTCTGAGCTCTGCGCGCGTGACCAGCCTCTCGCTACATCTGTTATGTTAGGACACCCTGGGAGGATGAGCCAGGTAGGGGGCCGGAAGGGTGGCCAGGAGCAGAGGCCCAACGCTTACTGCCCTTTGGCCATATATGACGTGGTCCAGGGCCTGTAGCTAGGTGTCTCTAGGCAGCAGGGTAGGCTGAGATAAGCCTGTCTGTCCATGGAGCTGGTGAAGCTACCTGGAGACTGCTTATCACCTGCCCCTGGCAGCTGCTGAACAGCTGGAGATAGAGCAGAGCCAGACAGGACATGAGGGCAGGCCTCGGCACTCCTACTCCTGTTGAGGCAGGAGGGTCTGTGCTCTTGGAGAGGGGTCTCTGTGGACCCAGGGTAGGAGGAGGGCTTGTGGAAAGACAGGCCTCCTCCCGGGGCACTCCAGCACCATGCAGCATGCAGGGGCAGGCTGGGCGCTGCAACCCCCAGATTCCTCCAAGGCCCAGCCTGGCCCAGCCCCAGCACGGGCCCTCAGCTCAGGAGGGAGCATTGGGGACAGATGGCTTGGACAGGCTGGCCGCGTTGGCAGGTAGGTGTTCCCTGGGCATGAGCAGGCTCCCAGGTGTGGGACACCTGTGACAGTCCAGCACCACCACCCCTGGACAGCAGGCCCAGCTCCTGCTTCTCAGAAGTGCACAGATTTAGCAAGTAGTACATTGCATGGGACATGCATAGACTGAGAAGTTATTGTGGTTTCTCAATGTCTGTCCCTCCAGGCCCCAGTTTGGAGGGCCCGTGTGTGCTGTGTGTCCTCCACATCAGGTTCCTGTGATGGCTTCATCTGCCAAAGGGAACCGGACAGGGTCAGGCCCTGCGAGGCCCAGGGACACCACGCTGGCCTTCCGGCTGTAGCCACCAGGGGGCAGCAGCACCCCGTGTTTAAGGTGCAGCCCCCCCCCCCCCCGGCCCTTTAGAGGCCGCATCAGCCCTTGCACCTGTGCCTCACAGACCCGGGGTAGGGCCACAAGGGGGCAGCGAGTGGGGACACAGTTGGTCCCGATGGAGGAAGGAGGGCTGAGCCTCATCTTGGGCCACATCCTGATGTTGTCACCTGCCTGTGTATCCATCCTCCATCCACTCACCCTCTACCCATCCACCCATCCATCCACCCTGGGGGGCTGCGGGTCATGCAGCTCGGCTCAGAGCCCTCTCCCCAAGGGTCTGAGTGCGCACGAAGCCTTGTTCTGATATAAATTCCTTCCTTCCATCCGTCCATCCATCCGTCCATCCTCCTGCCTCCCTCACGCCCCTAGCCCTGTGCACACAGCTCTCATCCCCACTTCCGTCTGTGGACCCTGCTCTCCATGGCAACCTCAGCACCAGCAGCATAGCCTTTGTCAGCCTAGCAGCGTGGCCAAGAGTCCCCCCCCAGCCACCTAGCCTCAGCCTTGCACCCCTGGCTCTGCCTGAGGCTCAGCAACTGGGCATGGGGCAGCATCACCGGGAAGTGGCCACCAGGTCCCAGGACTCCACTGGCAGACTGGGCATGAGTTCTCCAGACGCGTGAGAGCAGCACCATCACAGGCGGCTGTGAGCCCGGGGCCTGCTGAGCACATGCAGAACACAGCTGGAGCCCTCCCAGCCCACCCAGCGGGGCCACCAGGGCACAGGAAGCCAGGGACAGCCAGGGAGGGACCTATCAGTGACACGGTGTGCTGAGTCCCCCCAGCCCAGGCTGTGTGGCTTCTGGGCAGGGGACTGATGTCGGTGGGGAGACCTGGGGGACTGGAGGAAGGAGGGCAGCAGGCACGGAAGCAGGCCGTGCTGGTGCCTGGCCCACCTGTGCTTGGAACACGGCCTTCACAGTGAGGCCCTGCAAAGGCTGTGACCTTGGACACAAGACACTCACAAGGTTCGTTTATTTGATCATTTTAATACCAGAAATGCCAGACCAATCAACAGGAAGGACGATCACACAGCTGCCTGCGCGACAGGGACACGCAACCCCGCCCCGGCCAGCATGCATCTCTTGGGCGCGGGGCGGGCGAGGCAGAGACCACGGACAGCCACAGGCCACGGGACCATGCTGCACAGCCGGGAGGCTTTAAATAGGGGACCTGGCGTCACACCTCAGCAGACACATAACTTACATATGAAAAGAAGGACCACAGGTGACACAAGCAAGGGCTTTGGTCACAGATGGGTGAGGGGGCGGGCCATGCTTGGGAGGGAGGGCTTGCCTGTCACCTTCGTCCACACCGGGCCACGAAGTCCCCTCGATGGCGGCCTCAGAGCTCCTGGAAGCCCTGCCGGAGCCAGCAGCTCTGCCCTGCGCAGGGGCCCATCCCCGGGGGTGGGCAGGTGGGGTGGCTCGCTGGCCGGGCGGGGAGGGAGGCGCAGCCCTGGGCAGGGCCACGTGTCTCATGTCGAGTGTCTCAGGGCGGGACAGCCGGAGGGTGGTGGAGGTGTCCGCTTTCACAAGCAAAGCTGAGAGCGGCAGGACGAGCCTGGGCTTCTGGGGGTCACGCAGTGTTGCGTCCCGAGCCTCAGAACTGGCTGGCGCTGCTGGGGTCGCACTGCAGCAGCCGCACGATGGAGGGGTCGCTCTTGGCACCTTTGATGAACTCTTCCAGGGACAGTTTCCCTGCAGGGCAGAGACAGGGGACAAGGGGATCAGCCGCGCTCTGGGGTCTTTGTGCCTCCATGGGGGATGGCAGAGCTGGGCGTAGGGGCGCACGCCTGTCGTCCCAGCCCTCGGGAGGCTGAGGCAAGAGGACTGCCCAAGTTCAAGGCCAGCCTGGGCTACACAGTGAGACCTGTCTCCAAAACTAAAAGAAGACAGGGCTGCACAGAGGTCGGGGTCAAAGCCTTGAGTTTTCTAGTGTCCACTCACTTGTAGAGCACTCATGAAAGACAAAACAGGACACAAACACCCCCTCAGCTTTGGCCACTCTCTGCAAAGCACCTGGAAATTCCAAGCTCCTCAGCAGTGCAGGAGACCCTGGTCGATGAGGAAAATCTGTGGAGCAATCGCCCCACACCTCACTTACATCTAGGAAGCTGGGCATGCTGGTGCCCACCTGTGACCTCAGTGTGGAGGAGGGCTGAAGCAGGAGGACTGCAAGTTTGAGTTCAGCCTGGCAACCTAGCGATTTGGTGAGACCCTGTCTGGAAATAAATGAAAAAGCCTGGAGATGGAGCTCCGTGGCACAGCAACCCAGGTTCCTTCCCCAGAACCAACAACAAACCAGAAAGAGACCAAGGGACAGAGCGAGAGAATTGGCGCCTAACCCCTTGCTGGCTGGGCTTTCCCCTGAGCACTGCCCTCCACCTCTAACGTGGGGAGCTGCAGCCGGCCACACCCCACCCTGTTCCCTCTAGACACGGAGACAGCGGAGTCTGGCACTGAGGTGCTGTGGACCTGCGGCTCCAGGATGGGATGCTGCTGATAGCACTGTCCCCTCCCAGGACACAGGTGGGGCAGCGAGCTCTGGGTGGAGGGCGGGGAGGGGCAGGGCCCAAGGCCTGGATGGTAAGGCTAATGATACCAGTGACAGGGTTCCTGTGATTATGTTCTTTTCCTTCCTTCCTTCCTTCCTTCCTTCCTTCCTTCCTTCCTTCCTTCCTTCCTTCCCTCCCTCCCTCCCTCCCTCTCATGACGTACTTCAGGCAGGGCTCAAACCCAGGGTCCTCCTGCCTCAGCCTCCCAGATTGATTACACGTATGCACTTCCATGCCTGGCTTCCAGTTGTTTTTTTCCTAGAGTACTGGGGAATTCAATAATTCAGGGCCTTTGATCACAGATACATCCCTAAATCTACTTTTATTTCTTATTTTGAGACAGGATTTTTCTAAGTGCCTAATTTGCCTGAACTTTTGATCCTCCTGCCTCAGCCTCCCAGTACGCTGGGATCACAGGCGTGCAGCACTGCTCTCGGCTGTGAGATGCGATCTCTCTCCCTCGCTGTCTGGGAGGCTTTTGGCTGTCTGCAGTTACATGGAAGCCCTGGTCTCCCCGCTGGGCCCTGTCCTTACCTCACCTTAACCCAGCGTACTTAAGATGCCACACGCACTTTCTTGTGCATTAGTTTATTTTTAATTTCAGCACAGCCCACGGAGCATTTTCTTTTCCTCCTTTCCTGCCTTCCTTCCTTTAAAAAAATTTTTTTGTTTGTGTTTTTGAGACAGCGCCTTACTATGTAGCCCAGGTTAGCTTCAAACTTTTAATCCTCCCCTGCCTCAGCCTCCCAACTGCTGGAGTTACAGGTGCGCACTGCTGCCAGGCAGGGCTATGAGACCAGACCTTCCACACGGCATGACCCCGGGGTCCCGACAAACAAGGCGGCCATGTTCCTGATGGGTCCCCCAGACTCTGGGGCATCCGAGGAGACTCACGTCTCAGGGTGGGGTCAAGAGGGGCTCGGGCAGCTTCCCAGGATCCCAAGATTCAGCCCCTTGCAGCCTGGGGGCCACCAGCATGCCCATCCCGCCCCAACATGCGCTCGGGGGTACAGTGCCAGTGACAAGAGAGGAGCTCCGGGCCCCTGCGCCCACCGTCATTGTTGGTGTCCATCTGTCTGAAGATCTTGTCCGTCCGCTTCTCGGGGGTGGACTCATCCTCTGGCATCTTCATCACAGACGACACCATTTTGTAGATGGCCTACAAGAGCATGGACAGGGCGCTGAGGGGACACGCTGGGCAGCAGGGACCGCGGCGGCCTGGCCACCGAATGGGCTCCCAGCCCCCCATGGCCGGCCTCTGCCGCGGGTCCTGGACTGCAGCTCAGTGTGCTTCAGGCTCCCCCAGGGACACCTTCTCCTTTCGGGTGCCGCGTGGGTCTGCGGGGGCCCTGGAGCCGGCCTGCGGCACCAGCGGGAAGGGACACTGGGGAAATCAGCTTGCTGAGCTTAGCGACTGAGACACCCAGATGCCGACTCGCTCCTCACCTAGCACTCAGCCAAGGATGGATACATGCAGGCTTCTTTTTTTTTTTTTTCCTTTGCTTTGCTTTGCTTTGCTTTTTGAGAGAGGGTCTTGACATGTATTTCAGGTTGGCCTTGAGCTTGAGGTAATCCTCCTGTCTCAGCCTCCTGAGTGCTGGGATTACAGGTATGCACTAGCGTGGCTGGTGTTTTCTTTCTTTTTGGCAGCCCTAGGGACTGAGCCCGGGGTCTTGGCACTGAGCTACAACCCCAGCCCTTTTTTATTTTGAGACAAGGCCTTGCTAAGTCATTTAGTTGTTTTTTTGTCTTTTTGAGACAGGCAGTTCAGGCTGGCCTTGAACTCACTTTGTAGCCCAGGCTGGCCTTGAACTCACAATGATCCTCCTGCCTCAGCCTCCAGAGTGCTGGGATTACAGGCAGGCACCACCACGCCCGGCTTAAATCACTTAGTTGCCCAGGCTGGGCTTGATTTGAGATCCTCCTGCCTTAGCCTCCCTGGGATGACAGGTGAGTGCCACCACACCTGGCTCAGTGGTGGCTTTTAGCAAAAGCCTTCCAGCCAGGTGACACTGATCCCTCTCAAGGGGGCAGCCAGTGGCAACCCAGTCCAGACACCCAGGTGTGGGGCTAGGTGCGGCCTCTACCTGCACGATCTCCAGCATCTCGCTGCGGCTGATGTAGCCGTTGCCGTCCAGGTCGTACATGCTGAAGGCCCACTTGAGCTTCTGCTCGAGCTTCCCCCGAGATGTCACGCTCAGCGCAATGATGAACTCCCGGAAGTCGATGGTGCCATCGCCGTTGGTGTCAAAGGTGCGGAAGACGTGCTCGGCAAACTTGGAGGCGTCGCCATAGGGGAAGAAGTTGGCGTAGATCTTCTTGAACTCGTCCACGGTCAGGTGGCCGGTGGGGCAGTCCTTGAGGAAGCCCTTGTACCACTCCTGCAGCTCGTGGTCCGTGAACTCCGTGTTCTCACGCAGGTCCTGCAGCACCTCTGGCCGCAGCTTGCTGTTCTGCTTGCCCATGGTAGCTGGCAACTGCACCTGAAAGACAGTCAGCTAAGGGTGCCGTGGGTCCCAGTGGCCCAGCAATGTCCCAAGTGTCCCATGCCACAGGCTGGAGGGACCCAAACAAGCCCGCCACAGTGCAGGCCAGACTGGCCTTGAACCTGCGTCAATCCACCTGCCTCAGCCTCCTGAGGGCTGGGATTACAGGCGTGCACCTGACAGGTTGCACCTACCCTGAACCCTGCCCAGCCCCTCCCCAGTATCCCCCATTGGCTCTCCAAACTGCCCTGGGACCTGGGGTGACACCGCCCACCATTGTATTCTAGAAGGCTTGAAAAGTCCTGGTTTTTTTTTTTTTTTTTTTTTTGGCAGCACTAGGGATTGAACCCAGGGCCTTTGTACTGAGTGACTCCCCTATTTTGAGACTGAGTTTCGCTAAGTTGCTAAATTGCCTGGCTGGGCTTGAACTGGTGACCCTTCTGCCTCAGCCTTTCAGGGTGCTAGGATTATAGAACTATGTCACAAAAACTCATTAATTAAAAAGAAAATAACTGAAGTCGCACTGGGGTCATGACGGCTGAAGACAGGGTGTGTAACAGTTAAACCACTTGATTGGCTTCGGATATGCCAAGGGGATGGGTCAGCTCACTTCTGGGCACGTCTGGTGAGTCACAGAAGGGTTACTTTGGCATCCATATCTGGTCCCTCCCCTTCTTCTCTGGTCTGTTCCCCTGTTCTGTTCCCCCAGCCACCATGAACTGAGCAGCTTTGCTCCCCGACGCCCTTCCGCCATGATGCTCCTGCCTTGGAGCCACAGACCATGCACCGAACCCCCTGAAACCATGAGCCAGAGCCAGCCCCTCCCCATTTATGGTGTGGGTGTTAGGTACTGGGGCACAGCCACCAGAAAGCTGACTATATACCCTGGCCCACAGGCAGGGTGTGGCCTAGGCATGGCTGGTCCTGGTCCAAAGAACCCTGACTGATGGAGCAGGACAAGCTGTCCTTGAAACTCCATCCAAGGTGAGGCTGGGGCTGCTGCCCAAGTCAGACGCAGAGGAGCCAGCTCGGTGGTGCACACCTGCCATCCCAGCACTCTGAGGCATGAGGATTGCAAGTTGGAGGCCAGCCTGGGCTACTTAGCAACTTAGCAAAACCCTGTCTCAAAATTTAAAAAATAAAAAGTACTGCATTAAAAATAAATAGAGGAGGGCCAGGGATATAGCTCAGTGGCACATGCCTGCCTGGCAAGCGTGAGGCTGTGGGTTCAATTCCTGATACCAAAATAAAATGAAATAAAATAAATAAATAGAGGAGCTCATGAATAGCAATGGAAGCTGCTGGCCTTGTAGGCCCAGTCAGTCACCAGGATAAAACCCAGTGGAGTATTTACAGTGCACAGCTCTCCTGGAAGCTCGCAGGCCTGAAGCAGGGAGCTGCGCGGTGCGGTGCGGTGCGGTGCGGTGCGGTGCGGTGCGGTGCGGGGCCCCGGGTCCTTAATGAAGTGAGTGTGGCGCAGTCTCCACAGGCGGCAACACTGAGCTATCTGAGCACGGCTGCCCCTCCCCGGCTCACGCCGCTCCGGTGTGCAAGCCAGGCTGGGGCAGGCGCAGGAGCGGGTCCACACAAGACAGATTGGGGCGACACCTGCATTCTCAGCAAGGGAGACCGGGAGGGGCTATCACTGTCCTCAATGTGCTAAACGGTACAGCAAAGGTAAACCCAGAGCTGGGAGCCCTAGGTGAATATTTAATATGAAAACGGCACTGCCACCAAGTGAAAGCCTTTTTAATGGCACGGTGACTCCAGGGGGGCCCCGGGGACCCAGGAGGCCACGGTCCCCTGAACCACAGCTCAGCGCTGAAGGTCCGGCCCCCATTCCATCCATCCGCTCCCAAGCAACGCCCCCATCACGCTGTGCATGGTGGTGCACATCTGCCACACCAGTAGGTGGGAGGCTGAGGCAGGAGGCTCAGACTAAGGGCCAGGGCACAGGAAGAGGCCAGGTAGTGTTTGCTGTGCACTTGAGCCTCAAGGCAGCAGAGGGCTGCTGTGTGCTGATGATCTAGTGTGGAACAGACCTGAGAGGCGTAGGTGGAAACAGGTGGGTTTGTGCTCTCCTGCTCCCAGTGACCCACAGACACACCCTCCTGTCACTGCAATCCTCCGGCCTCCGCCTCCGGAGTGCTAGAATGACAGGTGGGTGCCACCATGCCCAGCTCTGATTACATTTTAAAATAATTCAGCCGTCCTTCTTCCTCCCGAGCTCAAGACTCCAGTAGCCTGGCTTCCAGGGCAGTCCTGGAGGAGGGGTGGGTCCCAAGGAACCTGTGTTACAGACAGAGGGACCTGGGGCCAGGCAGGCTGCAGTGTGCCCTGGACGACAATAGAGGGCGCAGGCAGACAGGCTCCCAGCCCTGAGCGCTGAGGCCCGGCTGCTGGCCTCATCCCCACCGGCTCTCTGGTGGGCGCCTGTTTCTCCATCCATAACCCAGGACTGCGCTGTACCACGCCCCCAACTACATATGGCTGTCAACCATTTGAAATGTGGCCAGTCTGGACCCACATGGATCCTCTGTAAGCACTGGATTTTGATGCTTTTTTTTTGAGTTTTGGTTTTTGAGACAGATCTCTAGGACGCTGAGGCAGGAGGTTTTCCTAATCTCCTGGGCATATCATAATCCAGACAAATTGATAAATCATGCTTAATGGTCATAGAATATAGGGGGATGAAACAAAGGGATAGATTAACCAAAGTAGGCCGAGGGGAGGAGGCAGCTAGAGGAAAGACGATCCTCTCCCAGCCCTGGGAATTCAGATTTAGGACTACAAGGGCAGCCCAGATAGATAAAGATGGCAGGAGATACCGGGCGTGATTAAGGGCAGGGCCGGCACCAGTGGGCATCGGTGACAGACACGTGGACTCTGTCATCTGCAGGCCTGTCACTGCCGGCTCGGGTGTGGGTCTGCAGGCCGGTGCTGGGCTAAGTCACTCCCTGGAGAGCTTTCTCTCCCTGCTGTAAAATCGGGGCGGGGACAGCACTGCTCTGGCAGCATGTTCCAGCCCTGAGGCACGCCCCGGTCCCCACCTGGAGACTGGGCAAGTCCCTGAGAGTGCCCTCCCAGGGCTGCGCTCGGCAGATCCACTGCGCTGCTCTTTCCCTGGTCAACGGGAGAAAGCTGCATTTCTGCCAGGTTCTGCTCGAGCCCCAGGCAAGCTCTTTCAAAGTCTGAGTTCACACGCCCCAGGTGAACGAGTGAGCTGTGGCCATGTCCTGTAAGCTGCCTGTGAGAAGAGATGTCACCATTAAGCTCACGCTTCAGAGGTGTCTTCAGCTTGGCACAGTGGCACACAGCTCTCACCCTGGGAGGCTGAGGCAGGAGGATTGAAAATCTGAGCCCAGTCTGGGCAAGTTGGTGACTTAGTGAGACCCTGTCTCAAAATAAAAAATAAAAAGGGCTGGGGATAAGCTTAGTGCGAAGGCTCTGGGTTCAGTCCTCAGGACTGAAAAGAAAATAGTGTTTCCAAGACACACGCAGCCTCTGGAGGGAGGGTTTAGGCACGCTGGCAGACAGTACTGCCCCGAGGGCAAGACCCGCCCGAGACACTGCCCCGCTGCCCGCTGCCTGCTGCAGCTGCGGGCAGCAGTCCGCACGCTGGGCATTTCTTTTAGATTTGGAGAGGCCTCCAGTATGCGCTGTGCTCTCTGACTCAGGCCTAAAGTCTCTGGGAAGAAAAAAAGCACAAGACATGAGACAGCACTGGCCTGGTGCAAGCCACCAGGCGCAGGGACAGGGACGGGGGTGAGATGGCCCTTGGTGGCCCCACAGCTGTGCCTCGAGTTTCCCTAGAGAGCGTGTTTACAATCAGGAGTGGGGATAGAGGGGCTCTGTCCTTTGCCCCCCTCTGCTCTAAATGACAACGTCAGAAGCCATGGAGTCTGCAAGGGCGCTGGGGGTGGGGCTCCAGCCCACTCAGGAGCCCTGGCCGGAGTGCATTAAGTGAGCAGCTACTGGGTGACGCCACAGAGCTCAGTGTGGGGGACAGAGACCTACGAGAGGCCCCTGACGTGCGTGTGCTCTGACTGAAGGTAAGGCCCGAGTCTTCCTTTTTTCTGTTTTTGTTTTTTGTAGTACTGGGGATGGAATCCAGGGCCTCCACACTGAGCTCTATCCCTAGGCTTTTTTATTTTTTATTTTGAGACAACGGTCTCACTAAGTCTCTAATTGCCCAGGCTGGGCTGGAACTTTGATCCTCCTGCCTCAGCCTCCCAGAGTGCTGTGATGACAGGCGTGGGGCACCACGCCTAGCTCTGTGCCCCTTCTTGCCTTCTGCTAGAGACACTGCTCCTCCTCTGCCAGGGCCTGTGCCCAGGTGCCAGGCACTAGGGGTGCATGGAAAGGGCAGCGACTCCTAGATGAACTACAGACACCCACCCTTCCTGGCCCTGGTCCCCAAGGGTTGTGACTTCCCAGCGTGTGGCCAGGGAGAATCCCGTCCAGACAGTACACACCAGAAACACAGGAAGCGCAGCAGGAGGAAGCTGGCAGGTGGGAGAGGCCCGGCTCCTGGCACACATTTGTCACCCATTTCCTGGGGGCCCAGGGGTGACCTCTAGGTCCCACATTGGCTCCAGGGTCTGATGAGGACCCTGGCAGAGATGAAGGAGAGAAAAGGGAGCTCCAGACTGCCCCAGGAACGCCGGCTGTGTGCCAGGGCGTGCCGGGGCATCGGGAGGGAAGGAAGGGCTGGTGCTGGAGAGGCCGGGCTGGCACACGCGAGTGGCACAGCACACGGGGGTCTGGGAGCAGCGAGGCCTGGTCACCCGCTCTCCACAAGGCCCTGGCTCTGCGCACTCACCCCAGGCTCCGAGTGAAGCCACCCAGCAGCTAAGCTGTCCTCCTCTTGCCTCCCGAGTCCCCTGCAGGCCAGAGGGGCTCAGGCCGGCCTTGTTCACAGCACCTGGGGCAGAGCCATTGCAGCAGGTGCTCAGAGAGGCCAGCGGGCAGGAAGCCAGGACGGGGCGCCGGCCCCACACTGAGCCCACAGTGCACGGGAATGCCCACTGCATGGAGCGGGTGTGCACATGCAGGTGTGATCGAGACACGAGGTGAATGTTTTGGCTAAAAAAAGCTATTACAGCAACAGACACATTGCCAGGAACCCCCTCATCTTCCCCTCACTTCCAACACACTCATCCAGCGTCCGTGCCGCTTGCGGCGGCAGCTCTGGAGTCCTCTTTCCTGAGGGTCCTTCGCTGCGCTGTCCTGGCTGCCTCGAGGTCCTGAATGGACTCAGAATGTCGCCTTTCCTGGTCATTGTAACTTTGGGGAGGAGCAGAAGTCACACCGTGCCAGATCTGGGGACTGAGGTAGAGGAGAACTTAGCGATGTTTCTCCGAGCTGCCTTTCCACTGGATGGCGCGTGGCAGCAGCACTCACTGTGCTTTTGATCACATCTCACAGACGCTCAGAAAGGGGACTCCAGAGCCACTGCAGAAAGTGGCCAGGACGATGGGATGCGTGAGTGCAAAATGAGGGGAGGATTTTTTTGTTGTTGTTACTGGGAACTGAACTCAGGACCTTGTGCTTGCCAGGTAGGCTGAGCTACATTCCCAGCCCAAGGGGAAGATTTTGAGGGGATTCTTACCAATGTGTCTTTTGTTGTAATAAGTTTTTTTTTTTTTTTTCGGTACCGGAAATTGAACTCACAACCTTGCGCTTGCCAGGCTGGCACTGTGCCGCTGAGCTAAAGCCCCAGCCCTGCTGTAGTTAAGTTTTTAAAAATGGACCATGCCTGGTGTTCGGAGCACACCTTGTGTCCACATTGAATGTGTGCTGTGTGCTGAGGCCGAAGGGAGCTGCTCGCAGGAAACAACACTGCAAAGTCATCCTGGGGTGCCCTGAAAATAGGCCTTGCCATGGGAAGCACTCTCCCACCCGGGGGCCAGAGGGCCAGGCCAGTGTAGGGTGTGTGAGCTGGCCCGGGGCTGGGACCCCGGGAGGGGGTGAGCCCAGGGTGCACCTTCCTGAGGAGCCCCAGCCCTCCAGCCTCTCGGCCCAACACCTTCTGGAGGAGCTGAGGCCCCACCTCATCTCCAAGAGTCAGGAGCTCTTCTAGCCAATGGGCAGGGCCCACCCAGAGGGTCCAAATCATCTCATCCCTCCAGCCACACTGGCCCTTGGCTGTGTCCGTGCTGCAGGCGCAGTGCTGCCCCAGTCCTTTGTACAGGCTGTCCCTCAGACAGACGTCCAGCAGGGCTTTGTGCAGTCACCTCCCTGAGAAGCCCTCCCTGCACACTGCATCCACAGCAGAAGGCTCAATGCACATCCTCCTTCCCTTCTGCCAACTTCAGGGACCTCACAGGCCACCCCAACCTCTGACCTGCTCCGGCTGTCAGTCTCGCCAGGCCCCGTGCAGCTGTGAGGGCCTGCAAGCTGTGTGTCTAAGGGGTGATCGGCTGAGGCCCAAATGCAGCTTCTCCCCCTCTGGCTCCAGCAGGGCTCGGGGAAGGGAAGGAGGAAGCCGCACCTTCTAAGCACTCTTGTGTCTGCTTCCTCTTCCCTGCAGCGCTGGGGCTGGAGCACAGGGCCTCCACATGGAGCTATCTTCCTAGCCCTTCTTATGTTTATTTTGAAACAGGGTCTCTAAATTGCTCAGTTGCCCAAGCTGGCTCAATCTTGAGATCCTCCTGCCTCAGCCTCCTCAGCATGCTCCACTCCACCAAGCTTCTTTTCTTTGAGGGGAAACAGAACCCCTGCTGCTAATCTGACCCAAGGTAGAGGTCTCTCCTTGGGCGTCAACTTCCACAGGCAGAGGAGACACCCACTCGGGCCAGGAAAAGCCACCCCACCCACAGGAAAGCAAGGGATGGCGCTTGGCGGGGTCTACCGTGTCCCCAGATATCCCGGCTGCGGTCACATGGGTGACAGGAACCTGGCCCCTGCCCCCTGCCGTGCACTCCTCCACCCTGGCACCTCTGAGACTAGGGTGATGACACATCAACAGGTCTCCAAGCAGATGCACCAGGAGTCGGACGGCCCACCCAGAAAGACCGAGAACCGACTGACGCAGGCCCAGCACCAAGCCCCAGTTTCCCCATCTGCCTCCTGGGAGTGCTGGGCAGCCTGGGCACACTGCTATCTCCTCTGTGCTTTCTGCAGAGCTCGGCCACGGCCCACAGCGCAGCGGAAGCCACCCCTCCACCTCCGTCCCAACTGGCCCAAGGCCGTCGCATGGTCACTTACCTGGGGCCAAGCGGAGAGTGAGACACGGCAGGGGTCACAGGCTCTGGGCTGGTGCTTGGGCGCGGCGGACGGCTAGACCATGCCCCTGGAAGACAGGACACGGGTCACACGGTCACACTGCCCCTCCAGCTGCTCTGCCGAACCCGCTGGGGCCAGCAGGAGAGGCCTTGGTCCCAGAGAGCCTGTGGGCTGCTGGGAAGGGACACACGCCCCATGAACCGAAACTGCAGATTTCCTCCCAGCCCTACTGCTGAGCCACAGGGGTTCCCTGGCCACCGGCTTTCCAGTGACAGATAAAGATGACAGTCTTGCAGGGCCTCGATCCAAGGAGTGGAAGTCATGCAGAAATAATTATGCTGAGTTGTGTCTGCTTGCTCCTGATTTCTGTCTCGCAACTGTTTTACAAATGCAGCCTCTTCCTCACGTGCAACCCAGGGCCCTGAATGATCCGTGCAGAAGCCAGCACGGCGCTACAGCTGTCGCTCCCCCTGCCAGTGCCCGGGAGAGAAGGCAGGGTCCAGGCAGGGCGCTGCCTGACACTGGGCCAGCCCTGGCTCCTGTCCCGGCCAAGGCCTCTCCCTCCCTTAGGTGTGGGACGAATGCGAGGAAGTGACCAGGCCCCCAGCACAGCTGGTCAGTGTCAGTGACTACAGTGTCAGGTGGTTGGGGACCCCAAGCCACACACAGCCGTAGCCCTCCACCCCCTCCGATGTATGACTTGGACCTGAAACTTCACTTCTTCCTGTCTCCCGTTCTACACTTGTGAAATAGAGGTAACAGTATCACCTAGTTCATCCAGCTTTTGTAAAGATCAAACAAGCTAATGTGCACCAACAAATGCTTGGTACACAGCAGGGACTCAGTCAAGTCATGACAGCGGGGTTGGTAGTGCACGCGTATCATCCCAGCAGTTGGGAGGCTGAGGCAGGAGGATCACTGCAAGCCCAATGCTACCCTGGGCTACAGAGCAAGACCCTGTCTCAAAGAACTGAAAAAAAAAAACAACAAAAAAAGAAGACATACAAGGGGCCAACGGTGCAGTCCAAGATGCTCACAGCACCAAGTTACTAAGAAAATACTACTCAAAAGCACAATGAAAAAAAAAAAAAAAAAGCACAATGAGATATCACCAACATATCTCAAATTAAAAAGTTAGATCAGTGCATGTGTTAGCAAAGATTTGGGAAAACCAGAAGGCTCCCACACTGGCTAGTGGGAATGTGGGATGGTGCAGCCATTTTGGAAAACAGCCTGATTAAGCAGACAGTCACCATATAACCCAGAAGTCCCTCACCTAGGTATGTGCCCTGGAGAAAGGAAATCACATGCCCACATACACACTTGTAAATAGCTGCATTATTCATAAGAGCCCAAAGGGTAGAAACAGCCCAAATGTTCATCAATGGTTAAATCAAATTGGTATATCCATACATAGAATATTATAGAGCTATGAAAAGTAGAAAACTATTCATATATGCTGTCATATAGACATGCCTCAAAACATCATGCTAAATTAAAGAAACCAGGCACAAAAGGAAAAATGATGTATAGTTTCATCTGTATAAAATATTCAGGCAGGAAATATATAGGGTCAGAAGGTAAATTAGTGCCTTCTCAGGACTGAAGGAATACAGAAAGAAGTAGATGTAGTTTTGGGGTTATGAAAGTATTTTAACATTGTGGTGCTGGTTGCACATCCTTGTGAATATACCAAACAATTTGTGTACTTTACATTTACTTTATGTTAAATGTATCTGCTAAATTCTAGCAGATACAAATTATGTTTCCATAAAACTTTTTAAAAAGGAGCAATCAACGGGGCATGGTGGTGCATGCCTGTAATCCCAGCACTCGGGAGGCTGAGGTAAGAGGATCGTTGCGAGTTCAAGGCCAGCCTGGGCTACAAAGTGAGCTCAGGGTCAGCCTGAACTGCATAGTGAGACCCTGTCTCCAAAAGACAAAAAACAGAACAAAACAAAAAATAAAAAGGAGCAATCTTGGTCAGTACCCTGACTCTTTACACCAGAGCATGGAAGGCCCAAGGGCAGAATCTCAGGGGGAAGGGGACAAATGCAGAGATCTTCAGCAGAACACTAGCAGACACCAGGCTCATCATCCCTGATGGGATGGGCAGGCAGTACGAATGCCACTGGCAGCCAGGGTGTGGGACCCTCATACCTGGGGGTGCCCCCAAGGAACCGACCTGAAGTAACCCTGCAGAGGGCCCAAGCATGTCAGGTGGGGGACACGTCCCCACCTCAGCTCCTCCACAGTGCCATGGTCCTGACTGGCCAGGCCTCAGCAAAAGCAGCCACAGAGGTCTCCTTCTCCAGCACCCAGCAGCCTCATGTCCAGACAGGAGCTTCCTGGGCCAACTCCAAGGCCTGCACAAAACTTCAAACAGCCTTGCCTGTGCCCTCCCCTGGGCCAGATTTGAGCTCAAGACATGCAAGTTATTTTACTATATTCTAAAGCCCTACTTAAATAGGAAGCACTGTGCTTTAGGGAGAAAAAAGTGTCATGGGGTCTGTAAACCTTAATCATGTTACCTCATCTTTTTTTTTTTTTTGGTTTTCTTCCGGTACCAGGAATTGAACTCACGACGTTGTGCTTGTCAGGCAGGCGCTTTGCCACTGAGCTAAATCCCCAGCCCCATGTTACCTCATCTTGAAAGGAATAAGAACCACTTGGCTGACGTGGTGAACAGTACTAGGCATGTCTGAAGATGACTGACAAGGAGGCCAGCAAACTGGGTAGGAGACCCTGCCTGGATGTGGGTGGTACTGGCCAATAGGATTGTAGCCTGGATGGGATAAAAGGGAAAGAAGCAGGAAGTGTCCCTTGTGGAAGTATGCAACTGTGGGCAGCATGGAAGATGAACAGATTATCTAGAGGCAAGACTTAGTTCAATCTACTGAGAGGCCCAGAAGGGCTACTTTTCCACCAAGAGCACCCAGTCATTAGAGAGACTAGGGAGAAGAAAAAAGCCACCAAGCTGAAAATGCTCTCAATTTTATTTAGAATAATAATTTAGAATAAGTGTAAGAGAAAAAAAGCTAAAGAAAAACATTTTGGGCCAGGAGCTGTCTCAAGCCTGAGAAGTTTTTCTTGGGGAAAACAGAAGGACAAATGGCCAGACACAACATGCTTCACTTAATCAAAACTTCTTGTTGCTTAACCATTTGATTCTCACACAGCCTGTGTGCTTTTGCCCCACACTTTAACCTTTCAGTTTAATCATTCACTCCTGGCCGGGTCTCCCACAGCCACCAAGTTTTCACCATGGTCTTGGGTACCAATCTCGCTTCTTCAGCATTCTCCCACTGGAGCGCCCCAGGGAGGTTCCAGGTTTCCGGCCCCAGACTGGTGCTAGGTCCTTACTCGCTCTAGTTCCAGGCTTCTTAGCCTTGAGGGCTGAGCAACCCCTGGGTCCTCCAGGGCACGGTCGGCCACAGTGGACTCTGCCACCTCTGATCGGTGAGCAACCTAATAAATGCCCTCGCATAATTGCACACGTTTCCTCTCAATTCTATCCCTCTAGAGAAGCCTAATACAGGGTATGAAGTCAGAGGTGGATGGTTTGGGATTATGACTAATTCTGAAGCGACTGTGGTTTAAAAATGACTAATTCTACCACGGTCCCCAGGTAACAAGCGCAGTTGTGCCCAGAACGCTGTCTTTGGTTGCCCTGTCTTGCTGCCTCGATGTCCTGAATGGATTCAAAATGTTGCACTTTCCTGGTCATTTTGACTTTGGGGAAGAGCCAGACATCACACGGTGCCCGATCTGGTGACTAAGGTGGATGAGGACATAACGTCATGTTTTTAAGAGCTGGCTTTCTGCTGGATGGCGCTCAGCAGCAGCATCCACTGTAGTTTTAACCTCACCTGGTAAAGACCCTCAGGAAAGAGGACTCCAGAGCTGCTGCAGAAAGCGGCAAGGACGATGGGGATGGGATGAGTGTGCTCAAAGCGAGGGGGGTATTTCGAGGGAGATTTCTGGTGATGTGTCTTTTCCTGGAATAAGTTTTTTAATTTAAACATTCACCATATAATGGGGTCACACCTCACATGTCCACCCATCAGTATGTGAAAGTTGGTAGCTATGTGATTTGCACCAGTGCCAACCTGAAAAGTACCTGAACACCCATCGACGTGCAGTACGTAAATAACAAGGGACAGTCACACAGAGTGATTCTCAGTGAGACACAACGGAAAGGAATCACCGACACAACATCCAATGAAGCCGCTGGGAACAAAAGCTTCCATACTTTGTAGCTGAGCGCAGGACGCTGTAATAGAACCACAGAGCGGGTGGCTCAAACGCCACACAGCCCCAGTTCTGGAGGCCAGGTCCAAGATCAAGAAGTTGGCATGGCTGGGAGGCTCTGAGGGACAGATGACACCATCTCTCCGGTCCTCGCGGGAAGGGAGCAGAGTTCAGCCTCCTCCTGGGACAAGGGCACCAATCTCAGCTCAGGGCTCTACCCGCAGGACCTCATTTACCCCCACGACCCCGGATCCCATTGCACATTAGGGCTTTCACAGAGGCACTTGGAGGACATCAGGAAGGAGCCCCAGATGACGTGGGCTGGGCTCTCAGCAGCACAGGGCCTGCCTGCCTGGTTCTACTGAGGACTTCTCCCTTCCCAAAGAAAGAGTTTAGTGGGGGGAGGCTCTTGCAAGCCAGGGTGAGGGGCCTTTGTTTTACTGTAAGCATAGAAGCTGTAGAAGAACTTTAAAAACTGCAAAAACACCATGCCAGTCGCAGTGGTGCACGCTTGTACTCTCGGCATTCTGAAGGCTGAGGCAGGAAGACCTGGGCTACATAGTGAGACTCTGTCTCAAAAAACCAAAACCAGAAAACAAAAACAGTAACAGAACACCAGGCACCAGGGAAACCCTGGACCTCAGGGCAGTAGAAGTGAGACCGTGAGGCTGGCTATCCCTGTCACAGGGCGGGGATAGGGGGCAGGACATTTCCAAATGCTGTGTTTTCTGAGACTGGAAATGTAGGCCCTTCACTCATGATCTTCATGGCAGGCCCAGAAATGGCTCACTGCCTACTAGCATGACTCTTGGGACG